CTGTTTGAAGGCACATAACTAAGTTAATACCTTATGGTAACTATACTGGTAGCATTGGGACACTGGAACTATAGGAGATACTAACATAACTGAAACTGGTGCCACGTGCCTAAAATGCTTTCATGTAGCCATGCTGGTACAGCTCTTCCAAGTGATTAAGATGAACTGGATTCTCTTGGGGGAGAGGGAGCAAATCCAGTCAGTCTCTGAAAGAATGCTAAATCTCAGTGCTACTTGTAGCTTAGTCTGGCAAAATCTTCCCATTTGACCTCCTTAGAGCTGACTATATTCGGCTGAGCTGGAGTTGCCGAGTCCTTCAGCATCAAGAGAAGTTCTGAAGGATTTTTAAGTACAGTTCCAGGGGCTAAATTACAGGAAAAGTACTACCTGCACTACCACAAAATCAACTGCACTAGCTCAGCCCAGTGTCTCAAGTGGCCTCTTTTATGGAGTCAACTCCTGTTTCTTTTTCTTCCTTCCCCCCCCCCCCCCCCCCCCCCTTCTTTTTCTGGTAAAAGTTGCCAGAATCTGAGTTCATTACATTCAGAACTGAATAGGATACCCAACACGGTTAATTCAATTTGATTAGTATTTCAAAATGGGAGAGGGGGGTTCTTGCCATTGCTTCTCTCTCCTTTTGGTTTTTCAGAGAGCATTTCTTAATGCTTTGAGGGACACATACCAAAGGCTTTTTTCCCTCTAAAGGCTTTGCCACTCAGTCTCTAGGGCCACTGACCCAGAGTTGAGGGGGAGGGGGAAGAACCAGCACTTTACTGGAAGAGGCGTTGCATCAGTTTGATCTGGCTTGCCCAACATCTGCATGCATGGCACACTTCAGCAGGGTGTGTTTTAGCACTATTTGTCTAGTGGCTGATTGACTTGGCTATCGGATAAAAGCACCAAAAACTGATGCAGTGCCACTTCTGGGCATACTCTGCGCTTGGTGCAGGAGTGCACCTAGCTAAAAGAAAAGGGGGGGGTAACACCTCTAAGCAGCCTAGAGGACTAAGCCAACATAGCACAATTCCACAGCATACAGCCAGTCACTTTAACACCGGCATATTGCAACCATACCCTTATTTCCCTGTGCCTTCCCTTTTTCCCCCTCCCCCCAAAAAGCAAACAACCACACATACACTCCCTTTGTCAGAACTATACAATAAAGAATCACTTGTCTCAAAATAAGAGGAGGCTAAAGAAGCTCTCTATTTGGTAGAAGTTTGGGCATCTACTTTGTGTTCTGCCTTGGACTTTAGTTTATAGTGGTCTGGTCTAGTTGCATAGCAAGCTGTATAGCCTCTTTTGGACTTGAGGCAGGAGTTAGCTGTGCTTGAACCAAAGAACTGAAGTGAAACAAGCCAGTGCATACCCTGTCTATATGGCTGTGCTAGTTTAGTATGTGTGACTTTTCATAGACATCATCATCAGGGCTGGAAGGGACCTCGGAAGATCATCGAGTGCAGCCCCCTGCCCAAAGGGCAAGAAGTCAGCTGGGGTCATAGGATCCCAGCAAGATAAGCATCCAGTTTCATCTTGAAGGTGTTCAATGAAGGCGCTTGAACCACCTCCGGTGGCAGGCTGTTCCAGACCTTGGGGGCTCGGACAGTAAAGAAATTCTTCCTTATGTCCAGCCTGAAACGATCTTGAAGTAGTTTGTGACCATTCGACCTCGTCATCCCTTGGGGCGCTCTGGTGAACAAACGTTCCCCCAGATGCTGGTGGTCACCCCTGATAAATTTGTAGGTGGCCATCAGATCACCCCTGAGCCTGCGCTTTTTCAGGCTAAAGAGCCCCAGGGCTCTCAGCCTGAGGTGACACTTGTATCAAGTCTTCATTTCCTACTGGTGTACTTCATAAGGAGAAGCTAGAAACAGAGGCCAAGCATTTAAAACTTCAGTGGAGCAAATTCACTCATCTGACTAGAAAATATTTAATAACTGAGATTTAAGGTATAACCTCATGAAACCATCTCTCTTTTTTAAGCTGTACAGGTGGTGGCACAATCAATAATGACTTTTAGACTAGCTTGTTGGAGCATTCCTTTGCATGGCACTTAAAATTGCTTTACAGAACAAGATGCATTTTTATCCTTAAGTGACTGTAGACTGAATTGTATTTACTTATTTTGACTTGTGGATTTGTTGCATACAGCTTTCATGACTTGCCTCCAGGGTTTCAGTTGCATCTATCTTGGAAGGTAACTTTTTATAGTGCACTGAGATTCTGATTGGCTCTGAAATATATGTTGCTTCAGAAACTTTTTCTCTACACTGAAAAATGAGACTTCGTAATAGGGGTGCACTGATGTACACTTTTTTTTTTGGGCTGATCCCAATGGCCAATTATTGACCAGCCATATTGGCAGATACCAATCTGACTGACTTTTATCCAGCCTGGCAGCTTGGAAAGCAGCATCCAGCTGGTAAGTCTGGCAGGGGGGCAGCAGTTGGAGGCCCCCTGCAGTGAGGGAGGGAATGGGGCAGGGGCAGGCACTGCATAGTTGGGGTGAGGCATGGGACAGAGCCACTACTCATTGGGGGGGGGAAGGGGGGGATGATATGATCTGTGCAAGGCAAGGGTAGGGTGGGTCGGGTTCTTCCCAGCAGCCATGATCAGGCTGGGCAGCGGCACTGGGAGAGGGGCTACAGCACATTTGGGGGTGACTAGCTCCCCCTTAACCCCCTCCTAGCACCATTGCCTGACCAGGGTGCATCTGCCAAGAAGTTCCTGGCACAGCTTCTAGCCCACCCATGCATAGATCTGGGGGGCATGTGCCCCCCATGCCTCACTGGGGGGGGTATACATAGCACCAAGAACCACCCCCTCCCTCCCTGTGGGCCTCCCCTGAACCTGCCCCAGCCTGCTCCCTTCCTTACTGTGCTTCCCTCTCCTCCTCCTCCCCCCCCCCCCCCCAACTTATCCCAACAGATACTGCTGCTCGCCAGGCTGCATTCCCAGTTTTTGTGCATGCTGCAACTATGCCCATGCACACAGCATTTATTGGCAACATTATTGGCCCCAAAAAAAGCCGATTTGTCAATTTTCCTTATATTGGTGTCAGTACAATATGGACTGATGTATCGATGCACCTCTACTTCATAATCCACAGGATATCCATTTTGAATAGCTATTATTGTTCTGTAATATAACAATGAAATGTCACTTGTGAAGAAGGTTCTACCAGGAAGAGGCCTCTAACCCTAGCTAGCTTAAATTGGATTTAAATTGTGAGCATCTACTTTTTTTTTTATTTATTTATTTATTTTTTAAGCAGCAGCATATTCCTCTGGTTCTTAAATGGTTTATAATTTATCAGAGGGCCCTTTAAATGGAACAGAGGTCTTCAAGTAGGCTTTGTTTCTGAAGTGCAAGAGTAGACAATAAAACCACGTTATACTTTGCATTAATGCAAACTCAGAGTGAAAGTAAAAGGAGGAACATTTCTGGGGCACAGGACATACCTGGCTTAATGGACAAAGTCATATCTGATTGGTCTAAAACAAATTGCATTTCTAATATAGAGAAGCTAACTTAGCTTCTATACTGGCTATTCTGTGCCTAAAACATAATTGTGCAGCCTTGGTGGCTTAGATTCACTGCTTCAGTGTCCAGACTTGCAGAATGCTAACAACATATCACCTTAACCTAAAGCTGCTGACTAATAAAGTTCAGCTTGCAAATTCTGTAGAAAAATCTTCTAGACCAGGGGTGGGCCAGATCCAGCCTATGGCTGCCCCTGCAGTGCTCCACATTGCGCTGAGCCCTGCCTGCTCCCACCCAGGCATCCTGAACCTACACTTCCCCCAGCCCCAGTCAGCACACAGCTTCTGGTAGAGCTGCTCCCAGTGCGGCTGCAGCCAGCCGGATGTTCCTCTGTTCCCTTCACCTCCAGCGGGAGCAGCCAGGCTAAAGCAGACCAGTGCAGTAGGGGGCAGAGTGGGAGGGAGTGGCTGTTGGAGGCAAGGGGAAAACAGCAGCACCCAGCTGACTGTAGCCACACTGGGAACAGCCCCACCAGAAGCTGCATGTGCTGGCTGAGGCTGGTGGCTCCTGCTCCTGCCAGGCTGCACTGCTTCAGGCAAGTGGGAAGCTTCAGCTTCCAGCTGCTTTCCACCTGTTCTACCTGCAAGGACTACTCGTTGACCTAGGTGAGCAGAACGAGTGGAAGGTGGCCAGGTGCTGGAGCCAGAGTTCCATGCATTGAGCAAAAGCCTCCT